AGTGCTTCAGAAAATGGTATGTTAATTTGTAAATTTTTGAAGATATCCAGAAATCTTGCATAGTGCTGTTTCTGAATCTCTTGCTTCAACCTCTGAGGGTAGGGAACTTTAGCATAAGGAGATAAACTAACTGGCTGTTCTTTCTTGTCAGCCATCTTCTTCTTTTCCCACTTCATCATCTTTTGTGGGGAAGCATTTTTACCAACTTCTACCTCTCCTTCATTCTTATTGTCCTTCCCTTCCTCTTCTTTGTCAACTCCAACTATAACATCTCTAACAACTACTTCCTTCTCACTTTTCTCATTTCTCATTTTCTCTACTTCATCATCAGAGACTACATCTTCAACCACAACCTCTTCTTCATTCTTTTTATTTTCCACCTTCTTTTTCCCTGGTTGAAGTACCAACCCACTTCTTGTCATAATTGCTTTACAGTTCTCCTTAGGATTCACCAGTGTATCACTTGGAAATTTCCCTTGTGGTCTCTCTGATATCTGTCTTGATAATTGACCAATCTGGGTCTCCAAATTTCTGATTGAAGCTTCCTGATTTATGAAAGAAGTTCTGGTCTCCTGCATGAATGCAGTTGTCTCTTCCCTGAATGAAGTAGAACCCTGAATATAATCCTGAGTTGTCTTAGATAACTGAGCAAACGCTTTCTCCCATGCAGCAGGATCACTTGACTGCTCCTTCATATGTGGTGGCGGAGGATGTAATGGTGGATTCAATTGATGGTTGGAACTATAGCTGAATCCTGGGTGTTGATTCTTGTTTTTCCATGGTGGCATATAAACATTTTTTCCCTGATTGTTGTAGTTCCTTTGATTATTCTGATCATACCACACTTCATTCACCTCTACTTGTTCTGATGATCCCCCATAATCACACTCCTCTGTCACATGGCCCTTGCCACAGATAGCTCATACACTCTTTGTTTCCACAGAAGCTACCTTTTGTGAAGAGAGTTGCTTAATAAGGGTATCTAATTGTTGCTGCTGTTGTCTCTGTGTCTGCATCAGTTGATCATTCCTTGCCAACAGAGCATCATACCCATCCAACCTGATAATTCCTGTCCTTCTGTCAGCCACTGGAGCATTATCAAATTCTTGAGATGCTAATGACTCAAAGATATCCAAGGCTTCTTGAGGGGTCTTGGTAGTCAATGATCCACCAGCAGTGGCATGCACCAAGGTTCTAGTGTTAGTGGTCATTCCTTGCAGGAAGATTGCTGCTTGTTGCCATGCCTTAATTCCATGCTGTGGACATTTCCTCAACAAAGTCTTGAGTCTCTCCCAAGCCTCATAAATAGATTCTGACTCTTTCTGCTTAAAGCTTGTAATTTCATCCTTCAACTTGGCCCTCTTGGATGCTGAGAAAAACCTTTGCAAGAACTTGGTTTGCAAATCATCCCAAGTTGTTATACTTCCTTGTGGCAATGATTGCAGCCATCTCCTTGCATCATCCGTCAGTGAATGAGTGAATAGTCTCAACAGAATTGCATCTCTTGTGACACCATTTATCTTCACAGTATCACTCAACAATAGGAAGTTCTCTATGTGCAAGTAAGGGCCCTCCGCACTGGTTCCAGCAAACTGATCCTTCTGCACCAAATGTATCAAAGTAGGCTTCAATTCAAAGTTGTTGGGCTCCACTGTTGGGCGTACAACACTCCCAATTGGAGGAATCACTGCAGGAGTCATGTACTCTCCCAGTGTCCTCTGTGGTGGTGGTGGTCTGTGATTCTCTTCCATTAAATCTTCCTGATTAACCGTACTTGATTCACCAATTTCTTGCAACTGTCTCCTTTGCCTGGCTGCCCTTTTGTGCTTCCTCAATGTCCTTTCTAATTCTGGATCATACAACAACAAATTTGGATCAAGTGTACCTCGCATGTACCAGAATCAAAATTGACCAGAAACTTAACATAAACTAAAATACTGAAAATAAAAGGATTCAATCTCAAAATTCTATAGTATCAGTTAGTGTTGAAAAACAAATTCCCCGGCAACGGCGCCAAAAACTTGTTGGACGTTTAGCAAGTGCACTAGTCGTACAAGTAATAAAATGATGAGTAAAGATCGTTCCCACGAGGAATTGTGTTCAAACACCAATATACCACAGAAAACTAATTTGAATCAAATAAGAGTTTATAAAAATCATGAATAATTTGTCACCAGAAAATTGATTGTAAGTAATTTGACACAAAGTAAATATGGATTAGGAATTAATAAAAACAACAAGTAGTCAGAAAACAACTTTCCTCCATGATAACCCATATAAAAATTGATCATATGATGAATTCCTTTCCATGTGATGTTAATCAACCTTTTACTTATCATCAAGATGTAATCCCTTACTACCCTGATAGATACATTAACCAGAAACCCCAATCCCTTGGTGATCTCTTTCTTAATACACGCATGAAATACTAAGGTTTTAAGATTACATCAGAATTCTAGCATCAATCCCTTGAGTACTAGAATTCTGATGTTGAGATTATCAAATACAGAAGTCATATAAATATTCCTGTTCTATACTACTTCTTTGATAGAAATAATTAACTCAGAAAATCTCAAATCAACACATGAAAAATACTTTATCATATTAATCAAATCAACATAATATTATCATGGAGTTCCATTGCATTCAGACTACAAAGACTCTACTCAGACATGACTAAGGAATAAATAAGAGAAGAAGAAACAAACTTCATTTCCATGTTCAAAGTCTTCAATCTTCAAACTATTACAAGGAAATCCTAATACAAAAACTAAGAGAATTTAGAGAGAAGTCAGACTAAGTTTAAGAGAGAGAGAGAGTTCAGATCCCCCAGATCCTGATCTAAATGTGAAGGCTTTGCCTTATATAGTGTTACAATTAAAAACAGAAAACTGATGTGGGCGCTAAAACGTCCATAAGTGGCCGTTTTAGCGTCCATGCTTTACGTATGCTCAACTGCTTTTAACTGATTTCAACGCTAAAATGTTAAGGAATGACCGTTTTAGCGTCCAAACTTGGTGAATGCTCAACTAACTTTAACTGACTCCAACGCTAAAACGTTTGATTTGGACGTTTTAGCGGTGAAGACCAGAATCTTTTTCCACTTTAGGGCGCTAAAACGCATATTGCAGGCCGTTTTAGCGCCCAAGACCAGTAATTTTCCATCTTCTTAGTGTAGCAGCGCGCTAAAACACTCTGTGTGGACGTTTTAGCGCTCATCACCAGCAAGTTTTGGCCTCTTCCTGTAACAGGGCGCTAAAACGTTCAGTGTGGACGTTTTAGCGCTCAACACTTGGGCAATTTTTCTCCTCTTAAGCTCCAGAATCTTCTTCCTTCTCCAGTTGTCTTTCAAGCTTGCTTTTCCTACAAGAATCATACAAATTTCCAATAAAGCTCTTGAACTTGTAATTGAGGACATCTTAGGACATTAACCTTGTTTTTCATCATTTAATCACACAATTTGATCCTAATTTCTGCTAAAAACCATGATGAACTAAGGGTTCATCAGCATGGTTATAAGCTTGTGTCATGAAATGTTGATCTTCTGTTAATTGAAGTCCATCCTAATGAGTTTCATCTGTAAAGAATCTCAATTCCTTCTCTGTTTTTAATTCATTACTGAGGACAACAATGTTCAAATCTGGAAATTGTGATAAACCCTTAGTTTATAAGGTTTTAAAGCATGCATTAGGTTAATTTGTGTGATTAAATGGATGGAAAAGAGGGTTAATGGTCTGGAAATTCCTAAATACAAGTTCTGAAAGTTGTGTTGAAAATTTACATTGTTCTTGTAGGAAAATGAATCTCAAGAAGCAAAAGAGAGAAAGAAGAAGATTCTGAAGAAATTGGAGAATTCAAGTGTTGAGCGCTAAAACGACCAAAGCAAATATTTTAGCGTGCTGCTGAAAAAGAAGCCAAAAAGTGCTGGTGCTGAGCGCTAAAACAGCCAAAGCAAACGTTTTAGCGCTCAGCTGTTAAAAAAAGATGCAGGTCTCGAGTGCTAAAACGGTCAAGTCAAGCGTTTTAGCGCTGAGGACAGTTAAAAGCGGTTAGGCATCCTTCAAGTTGAGCGCTAAAACGTCCAACAAGGAACATTTTAGCGCCTGTATCAGTTTCTGGATGTTATTTCAGTTTTAAAATTGTAAACTATAAAGGGCAAGGGGCCTTCACACTTAAGGGGGGGATCAGATCTGATCTGATCTTTTATAGATTATGATCTGACTTTTCATTCTCTGAAATTCCAAATTCCTTAGTTCTTAGTCTTGTATTAGTTTAGTGTACTGTATGTAATTGTGATTGAAGATTGAAAATTCAACAACATGACAATGGAGTTTGATCTTTCTTCTTTTCTTGTTATTTCTATTTCTATGTCTGAGTAGAGTCCTTTGTAGTTGGATTTCAATGGAAATTAAAGATGAATTTATGTATGATTGATTGAATATTATGATTATCTTTTATGTGATGATATGAAATTGTTTTTGTCAATTCTTTCCATTAAGGGAGTAGTGTAGAACAGGAATGTTTACATTATTTCTGTAATTGGCAATTTCATCATCAATGTTCTATTATTCAAGGGATTGGAACTAGGAATCTGATGTAATCTTTAAAATCTTAGTGCTTAATGTATGTATTAAGAAGGGAATCACCAAGGGATTGGGGTTCTTGATTAATGTGTCAACCAAGATAGTAAGGAATTACATCTTGGTGATAATAAAAATGTTGATTGACATCACATGGGACATAATTCATAGTTGGATCGATCCTTACATAAGTTTATGGTTGAGGGACATTGATTTCTTACTACTCTTTGTAAAATTATAATTCCCAATTTAATTATTTGACCAATTCTAGATATAATTCAAATTCTGGTGACAATTATCAATGCATTCAATGAATTCTTGTTTGATTCAACTTAATTATAAATGGTTAGTTAGTATTTGAACACAAATCCTCGTGGGAACGATCTTTACTTATCATTTTATTACTTGTACGACTAGTACACTTGCTAAAGTCGCAACATGCATCAGCTGAGTGAGATCAAGATTCAACTTGTTCATATTATAGTTCATCTTGAACTGATTGAAGTAATCAGGGAGCGATTGTAAGAGAAGGTCAACTTTCACTTCTTGTTCAAACCTAACCCCATGATCCTCAGCCTTCTTGAAGTTTGCAATCATTGACAAACAATGATCCCACACACTTCCTCCAGACATTACTGTCTTAGTGACAGCATTCAGCGCAATCTGCCTAGCAGAGCTGCTAGACGTAGCAAACATGCCATCAAGAGTCAGGAGCATAGCTGCTCCACTCTTAACCATGCTTACCTGCTCCTGAAGGTGATTGGCAAGACTGGCTAAAATGTAACAGCGACCTGCCACATTTGTCTTCTCCTATTTCTCCTTCTCCTGCTGAAATTGGGCCTTTGTTACCTTAGGCGCATCTTCAGCAGGCTGCGCTGGTATAGGCGTGGTCAGTACAAAGTTGAACTTTTCGTATTGCAGAACAATATTAAGATTAGTTTTCCATTGTTTGTAATTGGTACCATCCATAGGTTTTTGGCTCAAAATAATTGCTAAAGGATTGAATGAAGACATTTTTCTGGAAAAAAAATCAAAACACACTAATTACAAAATAATATTAACAACAAACAAAAATATCGCTAGTAGATTCTAATAACTACTAATCGTTTATTGTTTAACAATCCATTAGTTATCTTTACAAGGCTTACGATGGGCAAGATACTTATAAAACTAACATTGTTATTTGGGTCTTTAGTTCCATTGCCAGATCCTCGATGAGAGGGTTAACAACTTTACCTAAGTTGAATGTATTTAACCATTGTTTACTTTCAAAATTATCTTTAGTGTCTAAGTGTTGCCGACAATGGGCTGTACAAAACTTTACTAAAATTTCGTAAATTTTAAGGTTTAATCTAGTGAAATCCGATTATCCTTATCCGATGGGACTTCAGCGATAACCATTCACTAATAAACCCACAATTGGAGCCCTTAGGTTTTTGAAACTTAATTTTAAAAAACCTTCACCCATTAAATATTTTAAAATTTTAGAATTTTCCAATTTCCAAGAAATGTTTCATTCGAAAATAATTTTGTTTGATTTCAAAAACTATGTAAGTAAGTGCGCCGGTAAACGGGCACTTAGCTTAACATAATTTTGAAAGCATTAAGATCCTGAAATCCGGTCACTTTACTTCAGCGTGTGCTCCACACAATCATGATACATGAATGCTGTATGCAGCGTGTGTTATTCCATCCATGACCATTTCCGAAAACCCCCAAAAATTTATTTTCTTCAAACAATTTTCTCTTAGGAAATTATCTTGCTAATTTGTCTTGATTTTAAACTCCAAAAAAAATCAATTTAATTATTTTAGATTTTACCAAAATCATAATAATTAATTAATTTTCGAAATTAAAATAACCATTAATCTAGATTTTGTTTCTAAAATCATAATAATCAGAATTTTATTTTACCAGAATATTTAAAATCTAAAACTACGCGCATAAACTATCATACTAGTCGGTAATGACACAATAGTAAATATGCAGGTGTGACATGTGATCATGTAACAATATGGCACCTTCATATCCTATATGACATGTTATCGCAAATATCATGTTAATCGCACATATAAATCATACTAATCAATAAAAGCATTAAATAATAAATTTTAATTACTTTAACCCATGACCTTCCTATTTTAAAGAAAATAAAAAAAATAAAATATTACAACTTTGGAATTCGACTTTCGCCTAGCCCGTAGTTTTTGTCTCAAGCCCCTTTAGGGTTTCCATGGGCCCAAAAGCCCAAAGACCCAACCCTTTGGCGAGAAACCCTAGGACGCGAAAGAGGAACCCTAGCCGTCAGGTCTGCCGCGCCGTCACCCGAAGTCAACTTAGGCCAAAAAATCCAGGGGAAGGACCGCCACAAAGAAACAAGTGCACCGCCGTCGGAACACCCCAAAAAGGTGGCCCCACGCTCCCACACGCGCTCATTCCTTGCCGGAGAGTGGCGGCAACTCGCAGTCGCTTGTGGAGCCGTATTGAGGCGCACGAAGGCTCCGGTGGCGGCGATCCACCCACCGTTGTGTTCGTCTTTCCGTCCTCTTTCCAACCATATATGGATCACCCCAGTCTGAGCTCGAGAAGTCCTCGAAAAGTCTCTGACAGTGCTGACTACGCATCTTCCTCGCAGTTTCTCGATCTTGAACTTTTACAAATTATTGGAAAAATACACAGAAATTCTGAAAAATAAATAAAAATAGCAAAGAGGAAACCTAATCATATGAGATTAACCTCCTTGTTACAAATCGAGAAATACATGAGAGACCCTAACCATGGATTAAAGCATTTTTACCGATTAAAATTTAAACTTTTATGAAAAAGAACTATAAAGAATCAACAACATGAATATAAATAACAGATACAGAATAAAGGTGTCATATTTTCAAAAGTCACATTTCAAAAATAAATAAATCAAAACTGATTTTAATCCCCATCACAATCCGGCTCTGATACCACATGAAGGTTTATCATAAAAAATGCGGAAGCGCATCGTACCGTTGTTATGAAGAAGAGAGACACCGTTTTGATTTCCTAGGGTGAAGTAGCGAGCGTGACAATTTCTCACGTTCAGTTCTCCTTCTTAAGCCACACGATCTGCAGCAACGCACCACGAACGGTCGCAATTCCGCTCTACGGTTGATCTTCCAGGCTATGACTCAAGGGGATCATGGGGTCGTGTGGGCAACCGTTCAGATGATGAACGTCTGCCTCTTTGGTGTGTTTCTGATGTCCGTAACCCTTGGAGGCACTATAGAGAAAAGAGAGTTTATATACCCTGTCTAGTCCAAAATTAACCCTAAGCTTCATGGGTTAAAATTAGACTTTGGGCTCACTCTCACTAAAGCTATTGTTGGGCTTAAGTGAAAAAAGCATACTAAACCCAACACAATGGTGGTTACAAAAGTACATGTCTAAAGAGGTCTTATTCAAACTTCTATTGAGAGGATTCTCACTCAAATCTTAGCTTAGGTTAAGTAACCCTTTAAAAGAGTTTTACATTCCTTTTGTAGGAAATGTGAAGCTTTGCATCATTCTTTGCCATAATGAGGTAGATAGTTTTTATTTAGATGATTGTTCAGATATTGAGCCATGCATTCATAAATGTGGTGCATGTTTAGCTAGTAGTTACCAAATATAAATGAAGAAACACACCCCAACACTTTTAGTTACGATTGAGTAATGTTAGAAAAATAATATAATAAAAAATAAGAGCAAGATGGGGGATAACGCGGAAGTATAGAAGCATGCAAGTAATAAAACGATTTTATTTCAAAACCTACCAATTGGTTCGATTATATGTATTGAATTGACATTATGTATGTATAACACCAATTCAAGGTTGTCGCATTTTCCCTACCTAATCCCTCGCTCATGTGGGCCAATATGCATGATTAATGCCTTGAAAGATTGCATGCCACCTATATGATTTAGGTCCATTGTAGTCTATAGGTACGATCAGTCTCTCTTTCTCAGTACGATAGACACTAATAAAACAAGGATAGAGGAATCCCACATAAATGTATATTACTTCACGAAACGGGAACTTTATATAACAACAAATATTGTTTCAAATATTTCATCATTCTAGTTCACTTAGATGATCTCATAAAGCTTAATACCAATGTATAAGTTTAGAAACTTCAAATGACTTTAGCTTGAGTAACACTATTAGATAAATATAAATATATAAAATTATTAATTTATCTTTACATAATAGTTTAAGTTTTTGGGTTGAAATGATATATAGTATTAAAGTCTCTATTATCAAGTGATTTAGAATTCAATCTTCACTACTACCTTTTATTAATAAATAATTAAATATTTTTGAATTTCTCGACACATGTACGTACGTAGGTCTGTGTGTTGTTCACTTTTCAATCCCAATAACCGTTTGTGTGAGGCCATCTATTCCTATATACAAGGACCATCTAGATAGATAGATGGCCTCTCTGTTTTGTGCTACTCTCTTTTACTTTCTTTCCCTTTTAAAAAAAATAATATTTTCAATATCGAATAAAGGGAATTGCGTTGTGTTGATCAGTTGTATTGGAATATCCCAACGAACCTGCCGTGAGAAAGAGGAGTTCCATATAAGTTGGGTATCGTATTAATGACTTGATGGTAGAGTAATGACCAGCAACCACACCAGAATAGTAATATTTCTCATCCATGTCAAAGATGTTTTTGTTAGTCTTTTGAAATAAATTTGAAAGGAGGTTTGTTAGGTGTTGGATATTTTCTATGGATTTTGGTCTGGCTCGTGATTAGGTTTCTATACATAGAGAAGTAGTGCAAGTAAGGTCCATGACAAAAACCCATAAAACTATTCACTAAAAGTTGAGCAGTGTTCGGTATACAAACATCGTATGTGCAAAATTAGCCATGATTATTGAGCATGAAACACAGACATATTAGATGTTTGGGCCTAAATCTTTTTGGGGTATCGTACGACACATGCAGCAAGCAGGAACTCGTGTCTTGTTGCGGATGAGGTCTTAATATTGATCGATTTTAATGTACTCCAACAATATTACATTATTTTACTAAAAATATGAAACCTAATACGCACATGACATAATTATAAATATAATTATGTTAAATATAAAATATTATTTAATTAGATATAATAATGGATCGATCAATATTAAGACCTCATCCGCAACAAGACACTACCTGTTTAATCTTCCTACCCTTATTATATTTTCATCATCTTTAGATTGGATTTAAATCAATGATCTCTACACATAAAAAATAAACAAAAAATAACAGTTACACTGAGGGTCTCACACCTCTATCTCCCTGTTTCTCTCTCCATCTTTGATCCTACTTAGCTTTTCTCGTTGCTATTCACATTGCAGTTGTTGAAAATGCCTAACCTCTATTTCACACATCTTTTTGTCATCATTTTAGGCTTATTAATTTCATATTTTCTAATTACTTAATATCTATCTTTGAATGATACAAAAAATTTGGATCTTAAATTGTTTGTTGTACTTTGCTTTTGCATTTTTAAGTTATTGTAATATAAAACTCATGAAAGAGTGAGACGCAAGGGGGGTAGAGAGAGAAGAAGAAGTCAATATAACATAGAAAGAGAAAACAAGAGGTGTAACTCATTGAGAAAAAGCAAGGGAGAAAGAAAACAGAAGAAAGAGAAGGAAAATCTAGGAAGATGGATTGTTCTCACAGAGATATCTAGCCCAATAAGCTAGTGACTTTCTTTTGGATCTAGGTGCTTTCTCTAAGGTATCTGTGAGTTAAATACTTTTAAGTTTAGCATATCACTCTGCATAAGGGAATAAAAGACAGCTTTCACCAAAGAGGTGGTGTGCGTCAATGGCGGACCAATTCATGCGCAGGCACTAAAGCACGGACACAGTTTTTTTTTTTAAAATTGCGTGTCGGACACGTGTCCAACACGGACACGCTCCGACACGCGTCCGACACACGGTCAACATTTGAGGACACGCGGTCAACTCTCCGACTCGTTTTTCTGACACACAGTCAAC